ACACTGACAGAAGGGCTACATTCAACATTGTCGACATTGACATTGATTTGATGACAAATCAGAAGAACAGAACCTGAGACTGAAAAAAAACAGTCAAACAGAATTAAATTATTACAACTTCAACTTGCTAGAACAATATCTATTTCAACACACCTCGAGTCTAGATATAGTAGATCATAAAGCATCAATGAAATACGTACCAAAAATCTGATAATTCAATAAAAATTCATAAAAAAAACTTTTTTCTCAACTTCAACATACCAAATCATAACAAACGTGGAAGTGTTGTCTGCGCATGTGCAATCTAAAAATAGCCACTTCCTATGTAAACACGTGTATTTATTTTGGTCTGAAAATATGAATAAATTTTGACAAGACAAGCCCAAGTTATCTAATTACCGATAATCATGAGAGTCGTGGCTTTAATCAGGTATGAAAGTTATAGAATTCTGGATAGTTCTTGTTGTATTTTGATCCAAGCTTATTCTTTTGGTTGCACTAATAACTGAAATGTTATAATTTTGTATAAATATTACGGTGTCTGTAAAATGCCAATGTGCCTCCGCCATCTGTCAATGATTGTCATGTTTACACAGCACAGCAAATTTGACCGTCACATCTGCGTCATTTCGAGATTCAATTTGGACCAATGTAATTTCATGAATTATGGTATACTACTATTGTGATTGCCAATACCTACTAGATATTATTGCTTGTTTAGTCATAGGCCTGAGGGACGGTACTGCAGTAGCTTATACATGAAATTATTTTCTTCTTTTATAACTAGTGGTGGTAAAGACAGTTGTTATAATATGATGCAGTGTGTAGCAGAAGGACATGAAATAGTTGCCTTAGCAAATCTCAAACCAAAAGAATGTGGTATGTATAAGATAGTATTTAGGGGACAGTTGCGCCATCAAGTCTCAGAAACAGGAATGTTTTTGCTAAGCCAATCAGTTATAGTGTTCACAGCTCACCATCGAAATTGAAGCCTTCAAATCCATGTGTGTCCAGAATTATCTGCGTTTGAATGTTAAAATGACGACTCGTTATTTTAAGATACTTTGTGATAAATAGAAAATACGTATAAAGAAAAAGTGAGTAAAATTCCTAGTTTGAAGTAATTTTACTTCCAGTACTTTTGAAGACTATTTACATTTTATTCAACCACCCAAACTGGTGCAACTGTCCCTTTAAGACCACATTACAAGGTTTGCTGAGCAAATAGAATCAATATTGTATCTTCTATTTAGGTATAAACTAGAAAGATACATGTATCTTGTATTTACAGATGAACTAGATAGTTATATGTATCTTCTATTAACAGATGACCAAAACAGTTATATGTATCTTATGTAGGAGAAGATGACATAGAGGTGGGTTTGCATATCACATGATGCACAATAGTTGTAAGAGTGCTTTGTCCTACCAATTGTCCTTCTCAAGTCATACATTTGTTTTTTTTTAGCATGTCACAGCTAAGTTGATTTCTCCTATTTCTCTATCAACTAGATAGTTATATGTATATATTTTTTTCACAGATGAACTAGATATTTAAATGTATATTTTGTTACTGATGAACTAGATAGTTTTATTATCTTGTATTTACAGATGAACTAGATATTTAAATGTATATTTATTTTCACAGATAAACTAGATGGTTATATGTATCTTGTAATTACAGATGAACTATATGGTTATATGTATCTTATATTTACAGATGAACTAGATGATTATATGTATCTTATATTTACAGATGAACTAGATGGTTATATGTATCTTGTAATTACAGATGAAGTAAATAGTTAAATACATCATCTTTTTACAAATGAACTATATGGCTATATGTATCTTGTATTTACAGATGAACTAGATAGTTATAAGTATCTGGTATTTACAGATGAACTAGATAGTTATATGTATCTGGTATTTACAAATGAACTTGATAGTTTTATGTATCTTGTATTTACAGATGAACTAGATAGTTATTTGTATCTTGTATTTACAGATGGACTAGATAGTTATATGTATCTGGTATTTACAAATGAACTTGATAGTTTTATGTATCTTGTATTTACAGATGAACTATATGGTTATATGTATCTTGTATTTACAGATGAACTAGATAGTTATATGTATCTTGTATTTACAGATGAAGTAGATAGTTATATGTATCTTCTATTAACAGATGAACAAAACAGTTATAAGTATCTTGTATTTACAGATGAATTAGATAGTTATATGTATCAGACAGTAGGTCATCATGCTATAGATATATATGCTGAAGCTATGAGCCTACCACTGTATAGACGGACTATTACTGGTGAATCAAAACTGTTAGACAAGTACTATACACCTACTGAGGGTGATGAAGTAGAAGATTTATATGAACTTCTCAAAGATATCGAGGTTAGTTGGTTGAAAACACCTGCAAGTATCAGTGCTCATTTTCAGTTTATATAGTTCCAATTTTTCAGTGCTTATTTATTTGGCTTAACTTAGCAGCATTGATGATTGTGAACACTCTACTTTTAACATGTTTGTTGAAATCATTTGAGGACCCACCGTAGCACATACCGGACCAGCTGGAAAGCAGGTTCCTCTTGAACCAACATGAAAAATACATTGTTGTCTTTCTTAACAGAGACATTTTTGTGTGAATAAAATTGTTTGTATGCCACTGTTTTAAAATATGATATTATTGATTACAGAGTAAAGAAAAAATAGAAGGAGTGTCTGTTGGTGCTATTTTATCTGATTATCAAAGAGTAAGAGTAGAAAATGTGTAGGTAACATTGTTGTTTTCTTTCCATTACAAAGTGTTGAAGTAGTGACAAATATGTTAACTTACTAATTTTACTACCTGATTTGATTTAAATTTTCATTAATCTAATCGTAATACAGAGCATTTGATTGGTTGAATATTGAATGACCCAGAACATGAGATTCATAACAATTGCTTCAGATCATGGGTGAATATAAAAAACGCATTTATTTATTTTTAGGGATTTGATGACATAATTTATTCATCCTCTTAGAGGTAAAAAAACAAATAAATCTGGACTCTGTTCTATGAAAGCTGAGGATATGACTTTGCAATGGTAAAAATACAATATAATGTATTGATATGATATGAATTGTGTGATGAAATGTGTCTTTTGCTAATAAGAAATACTGAACATTACAGCTGTACTAGATATACTGTATTGTAGATGTGAAAGATTAGGATTAACATCATTATGTTATCTATGGAGAAGAGATCAAGATGAATTACTATCAGAAATGATTCAGTGTCAAGTAGAAGCTGTTATTATAAAAGTAGCAACATTAGGTATGATCTGTTTTATAGAATTGTTTTATCCATGCTGTAATGGAAAGCTTGTGTGAGTAAAAGGTAAATGTTAAAAGTGAATATTATTTGTAGCATATATCCAGTAATTTCCATTATTTCACAATAACTATAAGAAAAGTTTTGATCTATGCATTGCATTTCACAAGTATATCTTCATTAGTATCATTAGAGGTGTGACATATTAAATTGCTTCAATATAGTACATTGTATATATAAACTTATATTTGCTAAAAGAAGATATTTGCCCAGACAGTATTTTTTTCATCTTCTCTCAATTGCAGGTTTAGACCCAGATAAACATTTAGGAAAAACCATATCAGAAATATATCCACTAATGGTCAAACTGGTAAATTATTAATAACTGTAACTTAGTCTTTGATCATAAATTAGGTGGAGTCAAGACAGGCAACATTAAACATTGATAAACATGAGGTTATTAATCTTTGTGATATAGAATATGTCTATTGTATAGTTTGACTGAAATAACCCAAGCTCAATGGAAATGTTAAAAATTATGGAATGGTTGTTTTCAGAATTCTCAATATGGTGTCAATATCTGTGGTGAAGGAGGAGAGTTTGAAACATTCACCTGTGATTGTCCATTGTTTAATAAGAAAATTGTTATGTATGTATTATTTTTACCTTCTGAAATAGACTTGATCTTAATCATTAGCCACATTGTCAAAAGTTTGGTGTTTTCAGTTGTACAGTGTATGATATGATACCCCACATATTAGATATACTAAGTATTGAGCAGTGTCTTAGTGATGTGCGCCTAAAATTGACTGCTGTAAAATGGTCTGAAATAAGTTTTTTTCAGGGGCATATGTCTTTGGTATTTGAACTAGAGGGCTAACTTAATTGTAGTCATTTAACCAGGGACAAACGTCGCATTGCCATTTTGTGCAGGAATTTTTAATTCTGAAATCCCTGAGATTAGATGTAAAAATTGATTAGTATAAATATATATTTTATTTCATTAGAGATGATGTTCAAAGAGTTATGCATACTGTTGATCCATTTTCTCCTGTGGGGTATTTGAATCTACAGAAGCTCCATTTAGAAGACAAGGTAAGTTAAATGTACTGTTGCTTAGGGTCTGAGGTATTTTGAGATGAATAAAAAGAATAAAATTCAAATTAGGACAGCATTTATGTTCTTTAGAGATACGAATATTTATTCTATTTTAAAAACTTTAAAAAATGAAAATGATGAACGTTTATGTGAAATAGTCTTCTCTTCCCCTACCATCTATCACTAAAATATTCTTATTTAAATCTTACAGAAGAATCTTCCAAAAGATGTCAAAGACAGATTAAAAGATCTACCATTAAAGAAATGGTGTGATTTAGATGAATTTAAGAATGGAAAGGAGATGGAAGTTACTAGTATATCTGATATTAATACAAGTGTCACCCTACCTTTAACAGGTAATATCTTATAGTCATTCTAATAAATAACAAACAATTTTACAGTTTCAGTGGCAGTGCCAGTCTCCTGGAACTGGGAGTATAAATAGGGGACAGACTGTGTTATTGGGGGAAACAGTTGGAGTTGAGATTCTGAATGGGAGATTCTGTGGATTCCAGTTTGGGTTGGACCTCATAACCCTACTTTAATTAAAATTCCTACTGTAAAATTTACAAAATTTTTATATATTATGATGTTTTTTTTACTCAATTTCATTTTTTTTTAAAGATAAGATAGAAATTCGTAGTAAAAGAGAAGGTGATTGGTTTTATATCAGTAATATTATATCAACTAGTCAAACTTTATCATCTATAGAAGATCAAACACTGTCAGCTGTACACATGTTAAAAGGTAAGGTAATGAAATACAGGTCTGCTTTTATAAATGTAGAGAATATGAAGTGAAACATCATGTTTCAAATCCTAATAAGATGAGTTATTTTACAAAAACTTAGCTTACATTTACTACAGATTTTAAGAAAAAGAATGAAATTACTGTTGAATAATCTTAAAAAATGAATAAACTATTGCGGTAATAGAACAATTTCAATACTTCTTCCTCTTTCATATTTCATACTTCATATAAATTTCTGAACTGTTTTGATTGATTGTCTTTTTACAGAATCTCTAGTCAAGTTAGGAGTTACAACAAAAGATATAGTATCAGTAAGGTTGTATGTTCAGAATATGGCAGATTTTCCTCGAATTAATTCTGTTTATAAACAACTATTTGGTATCAACCCACCTGTCAGGTATCTCTATATTAAGTTCTGTTTCTGTATTCAATTATTCCAATGTATTTCAATAGTTTATCTGTCAAGCTGGATTTCGAAATCATGAGAGATTAAATAGTTCTGTACTGTGCATCGTGGTAAGTATTAATAAGCTCTCAATCCAAGCCACAGTGCAGAGTATTAATTTGTAACCATTATTGCTGTGGTTTCGCAGCCTCTTGACTTATCTCTACAAATAGTGTATGAAAATAGCAGTGACGAATTATTTTAGGATTAAGGTTGTGATAAGAAACTTTTGTAGCATAATTTGTCAAAATGTCTCTTTTTAATCCAAATTCCAATTACACAATGACCCATCAGATGTTTTTTATTAATTTTTAACATAATCTGTTATGTTAATTGTTATTTTCTAGAGTATGCTGTAGTGTGTGTTTACCATCTAATGTTAGTCTACAGTTAGAATGTTTCGGTTATACTGGAACTGATATCTTAACATTACATGTACAAAGTTTATCACATTGGGCTGCTGCTAATATAGGACCTTATAGTCAGGCTAAAATGGTAAAACTGATTTTAGATTCCCTTTGCCAAAGACACAAGTTAAAATGGATCAGTCAGCATATTCGGGTGTTGATTTGTGTCTTGAATATAGACAGAATGGATAGGAATTGTGACCCTTGCAAGGAATTTACATGTGATTAAGCATGAAAAACTAAGCCCTGTGTCAATCTGAAAGCTGTGCCTACCGGTGTTCAGTTGAGAAAGGAATAACAAAGTAAACCAAAACACCCCTTATTACACACAGAGTGTCATTATCAATCTAATGAACAATGTATATCACTATATAATTAATTTATCAATACAATAGCACATCAAATATCTTGTAAAAGTTATCATTGATAACGTCAGTAAGATATGATTGTGAAATTAGATTGGAACTGTTGCGTCTGACTCAATTCAATTTACATATATCTTTACTAGGTAGATGAGATGATATTTATATCAGGACAGATTGGTTTATGTCCAGTAACTCTGAGTATTATAGATGGTGGTATTAAAATACAGGCCTCTCTAGCATTACAACATACCAGTAGAATACTCTCAGTTATGGCCCCAGGTTGTAATTTAAATAATGTATTATTATGTATATGTTATGTGACCAATCCTGTCTATATTCAACATGTTAAGTTACAATGGCGGAGTGAAACTGTTGTGGTAGAGGTTAGTTCAAATATACTATATATTTCAGAATATAATGAACAGGCATGTATAATGCCCAACACTTATTACCCTCTAGTATATCTGGGTAAATCTGTGTTATTGTAAATGACCAAAAATTAACAAGTAATCTATTTCAACTTATATGAGCATGCAAAATAATTTAAATTCAGGCTGCAGACAAGTCATTGTAAACAATAATTAATTGAGGAGCAGGCTTTTGCTTATATCACCCCTCTCACAAAAAAGACTAGGGTGCAAGTTATATGAGTACATGTAGTTATTTCATATATATATATTTATGTAAAGTTATTATCCTAGAATGTTATGTATATATCAAAGAAAATAATCAATGTATATAATATAGGTGAGTGAAGATGAAGAAGAACCAGTTATAAGAAGTAATCCAGTAACATTATTTCAATGTGTAGTTGTACCAGAATTACCTAAGAAAGCTCTGGTAGAATGGCAGGTTTATGCTTCTAAACCTTCTGCACATCTTTTAGGTCAGTATCATTTCTAATTTTTTTTTTCTTGTGGGGACATAAAAAAGTATATAAGATGGAATTAAAAGTAGAAAAAGAATTTGGCTTTCCTATCCAACAAATGCCAATATATTGTGCAGAGTATTGTAATGATATTTGGAATTAAGAGATATTATTTTGTATAGAAATTGGTGTAGACAGCAGAATAGGAGAATATAAAGTCAATGTACAAGTTATATATACACCAGAAGAATCCAGTGGTAATATATTTACTTGTAAAGCTACTCTAGGTAAGTCTTGATCTTATCATTTTTCTTTGTGAAGTCATATAGCTGTGGCAGTTTAGTGTGGGCATAGGTTACACATAGGTTGAGAAAATTCTAGCAGATCGTCCAATCCAATTTCCTCTTGTCAGATCCCATGTACTAATGTTTGACACAGATCTGGAACTGGGTTCAGAATGCGTTCCATGTGTGTAGATGTAGACAAAAGGAAAAATTTTGAATGTGACATATTAAGTTCTGTACCATTTGATTGAGGCCATGCAGAATTGATACAAGCAGAACCTGTTCAGAACTCACCAATCAAGCCACCTTGGAAATTGAAAAATTTAGCAAGTTGGTTCCACTGTGATAATTAGATATTTAAGCATGCATGTCTCTAATGTTTTTTCAGTATTGCTCAGTTCCAATATTATGCCAGCCTGTAAAGATATAGTTCGATCTTTATTTGAAGAATATGTTAAAGTTTTACATCAATTGAAATTAGAATGGAAAAAAGTTCCATTAATACAGATATATTTTCCTACCTCTCACTTTAATTATCAACAATTATATACTGGTAGGTTGAACAGATTTTCTCATATACTCAGGTTCACCCTAGTTTTATGTCAGCTTCACATCCATTTATCTAAAAAGTAGAAATGTCTGTCATATGATCCAAAAACAATTTCAACAATGTAGTTGATGACACCTTTTCCTAGGGTCTAGGTCATCAAGAAACTCATCTAGAACAAGTTTGGCTTTATTAGCACCATCATTGTATCAAATATGATTAGAAATAGTGTCATGATAAATATTCAAGTTCAAACAATATTCACTTACAGTTGGTAATTACATGTATGTGTATCTATTTTTATATTGCTAAATCTTTCAAACTTTGTTTTAAACTTCAGGCTAACATGAATATATAGTCTGATATTTTTATTTATCAATTTCTTAAATGTATGAAATAGATTTATGATTTTATTTCAGATATTTATTCTACTATACAGACATATACAGATGTAGCAGTATTTTCATTAGTACCAGTTATTGCCCTTGAAACATCAGCACAATTACTCTCTCTGTGTCACTGAATTTAATTTATTTGACCAGTCTAGTTTACTAATTTACATGAATTAGAATTTAGTTTTATTCATAAGCTGTTTTTAATAGTGAAAGTGTTTGTGAAATATATGTATACCATTAGTATGGAGAATTTTCTGTAAGGTTCAAATTGATGCTGTGTTGATTTTATGTCATCCTGATGGAATACATAATGCTGTATGTTGTAATATAATGCTGTGTGCAATTTTAACAGGATCATGTTCATGTTTCTCCTGAATGAAACCAGTGAATATGCATGAAGTGGATGATGTGGAACTTAGAATGTTTTCGAAAAGTTTAACTATGTTTTTTGTAAGAATAGGGGTTTGTTGATCATCATTTGCACAAATGAAATACAAAAATTTGAAAAAAGGAAATGGTGTTTATTTACCACTGTGAGTGATAAATCATATTGGTTAGAGGTAGACAGTGGTTTATTCAATATA